GCAGACCAAACTGCACTCCTGTGATATACAGGAGAAGTACAGCCAAAAGAGCTTTGGCTGTACTTCCCCTTTTAATCTTTTTTTTTTTTTTTTTTTTTTATTTATCACAAATCTTGTTCCTTATTGTTTGGAGAAAATTCCACTTTTGCTTTATTTATACTGTTTCACCTCCACAGGCAATTATGAATGTTTCAAGGACAGCAATAATTGATTGAGGTTACCAATCCATTTTTTCTGACAACTGTTGAGTTGTCTTGGTTGTTGACCTCAGTCAAATAATTGATTGAAGTCAGCAGCCAAGACAATTGACTGGACATCACAGTATACTGCATTAACATTGTGAGACAAATTAAATATAGTTACTCAGCCACTGATTGCCTTAACCCTGGACGCCGATCTCACACAAATTTGCGGCCTCACAGAACTGGAATTTTTTCTGTCGGGCTCCATATTTGCGTACCTGACTTTGTGCTGGGAGCATGCTACACAGCGAGCGCGCTCCATGCACAAAGACCAGGGTGTCACTGAGAGCCCCGAGTCCCATTCTAACGATCAGGACCCGGGACTCCAGACTTTGTGATAGCCTTGGATTGGCTATCACAGTGATCAGTCACTGTGAAGCCTGCCCCACTTTTTTTCTTTTTTTTTATTCTCTCTGAATGGAGGAGATACATTGTATCTCTCTCTCTCCTTGCAGAGAGAAAAGAAACAGTTTGTAAAAATAAATATTAAAAAAAGAAAAGAAAAAATACCTAGATCAAGATTTGATTTAGTTCAGTACCAGGGTTAGTGTTAGGGTCAAAGGTCAGGATTTTTTTTTTATTTTTTAATTCATGTCAGTGTGTTTTTAGGTAATAAAAAACAAAAAATAAAAATGCACACTATTGTTTCTGGGCTGTAGTACAGGTACAAATTGCATACACATATATGGTATCACTGCAATAGTCAAGAGCTGGAAAATTTATCTGGAGGGTTCTTTGGTGGTAGGTTATGGTAGTAACAAGAAACACACAGCTAAATTTAACAAAAAAATTTTGTTTTTTTTTTTACTATTTTGGGCCAGTTTTCCTTTGATAATAAAAAAACAAAATCAGGAGCTATCCATGACCATTTACCACCAAATGAAAGACCAATTGTCCTGAAAAAAAAAATATTAATATGAATATTAATTCACCTGGATGTACAAAGTAGTTGTGATGATATGTACGGTTTTACGAACACATGTCAAAGTTGTAAAATTTGACTTAGGCTTTAAGATTTGTTTTACCCTTAGGCATGAAGGGGTTAATATGCTAAATGAATTCTTTACACTAGTTTTTTGGACTACAATATTTTTGGCCCATTAGATCAATACTAACTAGTGATACAAAAAAATTGTCACTATCTAGTGACATGTAATAATCTTAAGGTTCCTAGAATGACAAAACTTCTGATGATTTAAAATTGTGCTTCTTGTACCATGAGGCATGGTAGTAAACATCCTTATTGTAAGTGGTAAAGAGTGTGGGTATAGGAATGAGGGAGTACAAACCACTCCCTGTCATTTAACTTACATTATTTGCACTTGTGAAAGCAATGGGGTATTACCTAGAAAACAGACGGTGCCTCCTCCTGTTGGCTCCCGCACCATTTTGTAGCGGTCATGGGTAATATACTTGTAAGACACTTAAAGCAGTATTTTGGGATGGTAATAAAGGGGATGCAGATGAAAAACCATCAGAAAGAATCTTAGGACTATGAGTTTGCGGACAAGTTCTTGGTTAGACTATGTACTACAGCTCAAGCAGTGTTGCAGCAGAACAAATAGGCATACTTAGGAACTTCTGTAACCATGTAAGCTTGAGATTTTGGAAAGGTAATTGTGTTGTGGGCAAAATTGGGCCATTATACACCGGCAACAAAAGGACCATTTTGCAAATCTGAATACAATAAAACAAAACTAACAATACGCAGGAAAAAAAGGACACTTGTGGCCATGCACCAACAACAGGCAGGCACTTGTGGAAATGTCCTGATAGCAAGTGGGTTGTTGAGTTGATGCATGGACAATACAGCATTTTATCAGATGCTTCCCTCCCACCCTCCCTCTATCTCTGCTCCAAGCTTCCTGATGGCACCATAGAAAAGCAAGATGATAATAGCCCAATACAGAGACCGAGGAACTCCATCTACCTCCCCCTAACCTACACAGCAGACTTCTAGCTGAAGGTATTAACCGTCTACCTCTGACCACAAATGTTCTCTCAGTAGACAGAGGAAGATGTTAGAAATGGAGAAAGCATAGCCCATGTCTTCTCCTGGCACTCTGCTCCTCTGGAATGTCAGCTCTGTTCTCTGACATTCTACATATCTTGGGAAGAAATGCTAACTCCTAGAGGCATGTCCTTGGGCAAGCGCTGGAGAGTTCCTAGCTATTCAGAGAAGCAATTCTTCTCTTGGTAGCCTAGAGCAAATGGTATTTGAATGCCACAAAGGTTGTCGTCGTGGTGGGTTTTGAAGACAGGGAAGCAAGGGATATAAAGATTTTAAGGTACAAGAACCACCTTTCTTTCATAGAAGTGAACTTGCATCTTGCTGAATACACTGGAATTAGTACTTTTACAACACAAACACCGAATGTACAAGTCTAATTGATTAAACTGACAATAATGCCTTTACTGTCACTGGATGAATAAGATCGAGAATGTGAAATGACAACATAACTGTTGCTTTATTTTTGCTAGGAATTTTCTTTTAAAATGTTGATTGTTGTATAATAATGACAACTTTGTTTTTCTCCAGAGTGAAGAATTTCATATTTACACACAGTATTGCACAAATTACCCAAGGTACGATCTCTGAATAATGATAACTTGGCAAAATGTTAAACTGGTATATGTGGTACAACCAAGCTTGTGACTAAAACAGCATTGAGGAAGCAGTACACTGTTGAGGTCATTACTCTGCTCTCTTCTCGTATATATGCAAACTTGTCTGGCAGCATATTGTAAACCAATATAGATTTGATTGCTTCAGAATGCAGACCTTGAGGGCAATATTAGGCTGATCTTAGGACAGATGCTATTTTCTGCAGAAAATGTTTTCATTTACTGAAGTAAATGTTTTATATATCAACCTGGCGTTCAGTAGTTTAATGGATAGCATTAGCTGATGAAGAATTTCAAGAATGAAAAACACATTTTCTGAAGTAGTCTATATGCAGGACATGGTTGCCATGTACAGATGTAAATATTCAAGATCTCTCTTTTATGGTAAAACAATTGGTGGAATTGTGCTGGTTGGCCTTCCAAAATCAAGGAATAGATCAACCTACCAAATCCAATTTTTTAATAAACAGTCAGTCTCTTTTGTGTGTACATGTAGGGGAGAATGTACAAGGGCATACATTTGCACATGAACTGTATGTATAGAGAAGACACAGGGGTTGGACAAAGTTATGGCAAAACTAGGTAAAATAAAATTATCTAATTTGGTGTTCGACTGCCTTTGGCATCCAAAACAGCCTGCATTCTCCAGGGAATCGACAAATATACGTTTTGGATGGTGGATAATGGAATCTGATACCACTCTTCCTGCAAAATCATTTTGGCAGAGATGCCAGAGGTGGAAAATGAGCCCGTACATGGTTCTACAAAATTGACCAGAGTGGCTCTATGATATTGAGGTCTGGCAACTGAGGCTCTAAGGGGAGGTGCAAGACTTTGTCTACATGCTTGTCAAACCACAATTTGACAAACACCAGCTGTGTGAATCAGAGCATTATCGTCTTGGTAAATGGTGCTATCTTTAGAAAATGATGTCTGCACCCCGGGGTGCACATGGTTGGCCAAAATTTGTACCTAGTCGCTGGCAGTGACTCTACCTTTCAAGGTGATGATGGAGCCTGCAGAATACCAAGATATGGCTGCCCAAACCATGATGTACCGTTGGCACAAGACAGTCCTACTCATAAGCTTGGGACAGTGTTTGCCACACTTAAAACACATCCAGTGGTTGGGAACAGTGTGAAGCATGATTCAGCAGACCATATTAGTGTCTTCCATCGATCGATAGTCCACGGTTTATAGGTTGTGCACCACTCTCTCCTCTTCTACTAGTGGTTTGGCAATTGCAGCTCGCACGTGAATGTTTTGCTTATGAAATTCTATCCGCACAGTTTTTGTGGACACAGGCTTTGGAAGACTAAGATTGAGCTCTGCAGTCATTTTTGCAGCAGTTGTTTTCTTATTCTGGGTCACAATCCTGTGCAATTTCCTTTAGTCTCTTTCGGTTAGTTGACCATGCCAACTGCGCTTATACTTATCAGACGACGTTTTGATCAAAAGTGTATACTACATCATAACCATTGATACTGTACCTCGCAACACTGTAAATAAATTGGCAACTCCAATGACAGACTCACCAGCTAAGCAGACACCAACAATTTGCCATCTTTTAAACTTGGTAAGCTCTGACATGACTTCGTGTTACTAGGGACACACACAGTGAATGATGACAGTGAGGCTTCCCACCTATTAGCTAGGTGTCTTATCACACAGTGGAAACAAAAGAATATTACAGCACTTCTGCTTTCAATGCAAAACATGTCCTCATCACTTTCACACCTGCAAATAATGTAGTGTTTTCATATTTTTGTCCAACCCCTGTACCTGGATCTGAACATCTCCTTTTGCATTCCTGTAGATTTGTATGGGAATGCAAAACTTGTCTGAAGTTTTTGCAAAACCTGTTCTTATGTTTATGGCTCATGCACACAGCCACTTTTGGCCATATTGTATAAACTGTTGCGTATTTCTCCACCAGGAAGCCCACAGGTGCTACATACGGCCATTTATAGAAGTCAATGGTGCAAAATTATTATGTTATATAAAGATTTTTTTAAATCGCCCTCTACCCAAAACAACAGTATGACAGAACACCTATTTTTTAGTCTTTATTAGCACTAAACGGAGCTGTGTATCAATAGTTTGTTCTATATTTGCAGGTCTGTGGCTGTATTAACAGAATGCATGAGAAACAAGATCCTTGCAAAGTTCTTCAGAGAGAGACAGGAAGTCCTCCAGCATTCCCTTCCACTAGGGTCCTACCTTTTGAAACCTGTTCAGAGGATCCTTAAGTACCATTTACTGCTGCATGTAAGTGTTCTCAGTGGACAGATACTGGCTGAATTGACAGCACAAATGTGTGTGCCAAAAGGTACATAAAGAAACGGAAGAAATAGAGCAGGTTGGCTGAAGACCAACTACTAGGTGTGACCGGCAGTAAAAGTCACAGTCTTGAGAACATTCGTTTATGGTTTTAATGACCTAAGGCAAGTCACTGTTTACTTAATATTACTGCTAATAAGCAAGAAATTGTCATTGCCTACAGTCCCATAAACCAACTAACTATTTTTGGTTTTGGACTCTTGTCATTTATGCACTGTACAAAAGAAGGACAAAGCCAAAAAGTTTCAAAGCCAAATTAACAGTTCTAGAGCTAGGCTAAAAATGCGTTCAATGATCTAAGATGCATGTAGTTTTATATAATCTGAATACGAATACATTCCACTTTTATAAGCTAGAATGTTGAGCATTAATTTTTGATCTTGTGTAAAGAAGCAGAGGTCACTTCTCTGATTAGCAGTTCAAAGGGGCTGGCAGTTATAACTTTGTAGACCTGTTAAGCGGGTTTCCACTCTTACACATAATACCGTCACCATAAAGATATGTGCCCTTACCTCTTCACCAGGGGAATTATGTATGTGTTTGTCTGTGTATATGCTGTAATCCTCTGGTGTGGCAGGGGTTAATAGAACTGCGGAAGCTGTCACAGAGTCTCATCAAGAGTGTCCACCCAGCTTCTCCATTTATTGAAGCCATACTAGAGCTTCTATGACTGACACACGATATATGAGTGGAGAGGGCGGACCATCCTACTGATTGTAAGTTATGTCCCTTGATCTGCTTTTTGTATTATATTTTGGCTACATTTAGGCTTTTATAATATTTTATATTAGGCAGCTTGTATACTTTGGAATACCAATAGTTGTCTTGCTTGTTCTTTGTCTGAAAGACATTTTTTGGGTTTTATTCATGTGAACTGTTTTAATTCACGTGTTTATGTGTATCCTTTAAAGAGAAATATGGCTCTTTTTTTTTTCTTCGACTGTCACCGCTCTCTGCTGCTTATCCCCCCCACCCCGGTGCGCTCACTAAAGCGCTGGGCTGTGGAGGGGGAGTGGGTGGCTGGCTCAGGCTCTCGGTGCTTCACTGACAGGCTGAGCCAGGTGTCGATCCAGACTCGGGTGTGTGTCCCAACTTTGAATTTGGGATCTTTCCCCAGCCTGGACCGGCTGAGTGATGTCAGCCAACAGAGGAGTTCAGTCCACTGTCAGATGAAAACTGGTCACAGGAGTACAGAATGAACTGCACTCCTGTGATCTACAGGAGAAATATAGCCAAAAAAGCTTTGGCTGTACTTCTCCATTAAGCATATTATCTTGGCTGACTATAATGCTACAATAAACATAGAGGACAATTATAAAAGTAGCCAAGGTCTAGCAGAACAGAGAATTTTTTTTGCTGAAAGAGCTTTTAAAAAAGCATGGATGGTTTATCATGTCCTTTGTGCATGTTTATGACTATAGAAATAGGAGGAAATGCAGAAAGAAATGTTGGTACAGGCTCTAAACCCAATAATAAAAACAAAATAAAATAGGGCAGCCTGCCAGGCCTTAGCTTTGGTGGCTGCATTACTTTTTATTTTTTTCAATCGAAGAACAGTTTTCTATAAATACAGTACAGTCCTTGCTGATATTGTTAGAAATCTGTGGTACCTGTAACTTCCCATGTACTGAATTAAAACTTCAGACAATGGTATGTGCCTATTCAGCTATCTTCTGTGAACTTCTAAAACGTTTCCTTTCTATGTAATGAAGATCAAATCAGTCCAAATCAGAAGAGTAGCCCAAAGTAACAAGGTTGCTCCTCAATAGATATACTACAGTGATTGAGCGTTGTCACATTGAACAGGAAGTTTGTTACTGGCATGAGCAAAATGAGAATATAAAGGGAGAAAAAAGCATAAAAAAGAAACTTAATGCAATCACCACATTTAGAGACTCGTAAGCTGCAATGTATAAGTTTATAGTTTTGGGTTAAGATACACTCTAAAGGACAACTGTACCTTTTGGATCTGATGTCCTTTCAAGACTCCCACCTTCTTGATTGCAGTCCACCAAGACTAAAGCCTGACATAGATGTATCGAATGTCGGCTGGCTCAGCAGGGATCAGCTGAGATTCGATCCATCTATGGGCAGGCTGATCTATGGGCAGGATTATCAAACAACTTGGATACGACCAGCTTGTTGGATTTTTGCATGTGATTACTGCCCACAGCTATAGCCAGTAAGAGTAATCATTGTGTTCTCTTGGCAGGGATGGATTTCTGCTGAGAGAACACAATAGCTCTGCTGGAGGGATTCCCCTATCACCACAGTCAGTGGTTGCAGCAGAGAAAATTGTATAATCTATGACTTGCCTTAGGTTTACCACGCACATTAAAATCTACCATACAATCAACTTTAGATATACCAAAACTGTCAAAATTTATATCTGTACAACCAGGCAGACCCTTTCACTAATTTGTTGGTATAAATAACAGAGATTGTACAATCAAATTGTAACATGCAGTGAGCCTAACACTTCCTTGGCCTTGGTTCCAGTAATCTTCGCTGTCTTGCTCCACCCATGGCCTTTACAGGTTTTCTGCAGAAACCATCCTGAATATGTACACCACAGCCTTATGGAGAAAGCTGTACAAACCAATGGAGGCCACCATGAGTATGGCTTCTAATAGGAATGAATAGGGCCGTGGTGCCCATGTGCAAGAAGAGAATGATGGGGATGGTTTCTTCAAAATGTGTGCGCATCTCCGCAGCAAAGTGAAATGTACAGTTGTCCTTTAATGTCAATAACATTATCTGTGATCAGCTGAAGAAAATCCACCACAGTTAAAAAATGTTTAAACTGAGTTGGGTAGGTCAAGTTTATCAGTGAAAGTTTGCTGGTACCCATAGACATGGATATGTTTGAGCCGGATTGGTTGACACTCATTTCCTGCCTGTGGGTTCTTTAATTTATCCAGCTGAAAGCTTGCACAGGGAATTTCTATTTAAGCTAAGAGGTCACTGAAGGACAGTCTACAATTGTTTTGAACTTCTAGTGTGTCTTGTAATAGGATTTTGTAGTTGAGGATTATTAGCTTTTGGCTGTCAATGTATTAAAAGACTAACTACACTTAGTAAGTGGTACAAATAAAACATTTTTCTAGTGCAGGGGTCTCCAAACTTTTCAGTAAGAGAGCAATGTTGTATAATTCAGAAAAAAAGCATATCCGTTTGATAAATCAATGAGTAATAAATTTATTGAATAACTTTTACTTGGATCCTTTTTTGAATCCGCATGATATGATTCAGAACAAAAGAGAACATTAGAAAAACAAAGCAAAGTCCCCCTTACATCAGGGTCCGCCACTAACAGCAGAGAAGATTGCCCTTGTTTGGAGGCTAATTGGATTAATGGTATGCTTACTTTTGTGAAACATCATTTGATTAAGCCGTTTATATTTTCTTTCATGAAATAGGAAATATCTAACCACCTGGACAAAGGTACAGAAGGATATGATGTTGTACTTGATGCCATAGACACGATGCAGCGAGTTGCTTGGCATATCAATGACATGAAAAGGAAACATGAGCATGACATCCGGCTACAGGTTTGTTGTCACAATGTTGTAATAGTGGAATCCCTACACTGTAGACTTAAAGCTGAACTCCAAGAATTCAGCTGCTTTGTAAAAAGTGCAGGCATACTATGAATTAAGTTCCGTGAGGTGCATGACACCCCCTAGATTTATCTCTGCTGTTTACATCTAGCAGGTTTATGGAGCTCCTGGAAGAAAGAGATTTCTATAATTTTGTGAGCTCCAACGCTACACCCTCTGGTCTCAGCTCCTTCCACAGCAGAACGGATGCAGCTGCTATGCCTGCCCTGCTCCTGCCCAATCATAGAGGCCTTTGTATTATATAAACTCATTCACAAAATACATAGGCTTTTGTGAATGGGTAGCAGAAGGGAGGGGAAGGCAGAGCTGCTGTGTGTGCTGCTCTCCTCTCAGAGCCCCAACTGTCTCCTCTGGGCGATTCATCAACCTGTCAGATGTTAACAATAGAGGTAGGTCCAGTAGGTGGTATAGGCCTCATTGGACTTAACTCATAGTCCCCCGGCACATTTATCAAAATGGCTAAATTCTTGGTATAAAGCTTTATGGCCACCTTACAATAAATAAATGGGAAAACACACACAGAATGATAGATAGAAACATATTATCTGATTAAATATAATAATGGACAATGGTGTTGTTCATACTCTGTAGTAAAATAATTGCGGATTCTACCAATGTTTCCTGTCAGTGTATAGAGCAGAGCCCAGATCAGCACTGACCATCTCCTAGCATATGGTGGCCATATATAGTACCTATCCAGCTGGTCACAGGATATGTGAATGACAATCCTTCCTCTTTGTGGTATGAAGGGAGATTTGAACTTTCCTTAGATCTGACTCCTTCTAAGATTTTCACTGCATCACTGATGGGCCCCACACTCATATACATTTTGTAGTCAATAGGGCCCAAACCCTGGTAGAGAAAGCCTTTTATCATAAGTGTCAGCAATCCCACCACTGTTCTGTATCTCTTCTCTTGTCTGCACTAGTTTCTGGCATTGCTCATTTTACAAGGTCTACTCTGCAATCTCTGTTATCTCCTTGCCATCCTCCAAATTCACAGTCCAGTATCAAGGCTACATTCTCAGAACCACCCTCCACAGTTTGCTTGTTCCCATTTCCCTCAAGCATAATATCTTTCTGCTACCTCTTCTGTTTGCCCTGTTGTTACACTGTATTCTCTGGCAGCTCCCCTGCCTAACCATTCACACTGTATTCTCAGCTAGTTCCATTGTTCCCCTTACTACACTTTCTGGTATGTCTCCCAATATTCTCCACATTACATTGGCTGTTTTCAAGTATCACTCACCCATTTTGCAACACAACATCCTCTGGCACCTCTCCACACTATTTATTTTGCAATATCCCTTTTCCACTCTATGTCCTCTGGCACCTCCCCCATGCTACCTTATCTGGCACCCCTAATCCCTCCAGTCCTTGCTGCCACCCAACCTATGTTCTCTGGCACCCAACCTATGTTCTCTCCTTCTGTCCACAATACATTTTTGGGGAAGAGCTTGAGAATTCTTCAGAAATTCTTCCCTCTGGGTCTCTGGAGGTCTCCTGTCACTGCCCATACTGCTGATGATGTATGTTGTTCTACATATGCTAAAGTCTGCCCAGTCATGTTAGCCCCACTGTTTCTTATATATTCCCTTGGTCCTTGTCTATTTTCTTACTTCTGTCCTCCTCAGTCTTCCCAGTGTTTGATTAGCTGTGTCTTCGCACTCTTCCCACTGTTTATGAGCATCTCCAGTGCCTTCTGGTACTTATGCTTTTGCCTCTTTTCTCTTATCTCCTTGGTCAGCTATTATTATGTCTTGTGGGTGGGACCACCTTGCCCTGCACATAGGGGCACACTCTCATCAATGCCTGGTTCCAGGCAGGGCCTTGTTCATGTGAAAGTCGACATTATGGCTGAACCCAAACTTAGAGATGAGCCGTTCAGTGTATATAGCTGTGTGACCTACAGAGTTCCTCTGTGAAGCATTCTGTCCCATGTCACTACACACCTTTCTTGTTGCCTGTTGCATTTAGGATGGACACTGCTAAGCCTATGCTCTTTCCACCTGTCCAGCATACCTCTGTCACCTCACTCCCAGTGACAGAATGGGATCCTGCTGAGCACTCTCAGCTCTCACGCACCATGCAGCTAGGCTGTGATTCTCTGTAACAAGGGTTCGATCCCGATACTTTTGGGGAACCAACTGCTGGGGAAGAAGCCAGATCTCCATACTTTCCACTGAGTTAACTCTTGGTGGTGACCTTGTGTCCTACTCCATATGTGCTTTACTGGCCTTGTTCTTTTATGTGCCAGAAACCATCATGTACCTCTTTAGAGTAACTTCAGACCACGCTTTGGAACAGTTCAACAAGCTTTACTGAACTGGTTCATGGCATAATAAATAACAAGTACAACTTAGTCTAGGCCCTAGACTAATTCCCGGAGGTGGCTGGCCAGGCATACCTTTAGAAGTGTGAGTCCATGACTGGCGATCTCGAAAACTTGGGTTTCCCAGTTTTTTGCGGTACTACATGCTTGCTCCCGCTGTGTTTTCCTCTACTTCTTTGCAGAGCTCCTGGGCTGGCTCTCTCGGGCACTCTCTCTCTTCTGGACCGACAGTTCCATATATATATATATATATATATATATCTCAATCATAGGGTGGAGAGCCATCAACAGAAAAGCCTTGGAACTGAGATTCTAGATGTTAACCCCTTCCCCCAACCTGGGCATAGCTGCTGACTAAACAACACATACAATTCCCTGTAGGCACCTGCCTACAAATCTTCTCAGCCTTTCCCAATGTTCCATGGTCATCTGTCAGTCCCTTTTTTTTTTTTTTTTGTACCAGCACCCCTAATCATGAACAGCTTCCATTCATTTCTCAGCTGCTGTTGTGTCTGTGCCCCACCATTCCACTGCATCAAATTTAATACAATCAATATTATAATTAAAACTTAATGTAACAGGTTTCTTTGGATTAGGGAAGCAGCACTTTATGTTCTGGGTCTGGTCTGTGTAGCTATGACTTGCTTAGGGGGAATGGACAAGTGTTGAATTTTAGGGGCAGAATATAGAAAGCATACATGCTGGACCATTTATAATTCAATAAATTATTTTATTCTAGTTTAGGATTTTGTAATTGAAAAACACCATAATTTTATTGATAAAAGCCAACAGGCTTAATACACTAATCTGTGATAATTATTTGCCATAATGACCATTACTTTCAGCAATAAAAGTCAGTGAGTTCTTAGCTGAATAGAAATTGTTATAGCACCTAAAGCATGCATTGTAACTTTGTGATACGATGGTGCAATACTAGAGCAGGAAAAAGGAAGAAGGGAAGTATATTCACATGGTGGAAACAAAATGGAGAAATCCGGATTGCAACTTAAAAAAAAAATCTCCCAACTAGAAGTACCACAAAAGGTGACGATTGGGGAAATAAGAAAAGAGTTGAGTTTGGTGAATACTTGGTGTGCCTTTACTTTTAATGAGCCCAAATATTGTAAGATAGAAAGTTATAATAAAAGGTTTTGTAATCATTTTGCTACACTTATCAGTGTCTGTAATTATTCAGGCTTGGCCTGAGCCGACCCTGCAATTAGCATTTTCTAGCTTCTACATGAAATAATAGAGGTCAGACACACATGTTTCCCTCCGTGTTTAGGCAGCTGCACAGTTCATGTGTTACAAATACTCTGCATGATGTTGATTTTTATTAGAGCTGAATATATCAGCATATTTTAATCAGCACTGCTTATTTTCCCTTAAAGGTTTTCACACTTGCTTTCTGCTAATAGTGTGATATCGAAGGGTTTTTCTTTTTTTTCGTATAAACTGGAATATAATAGTTTTGCCCTGCTTACATATAAGATTTTTCACTGTAAAATTATGTAAAGGTCTTTACAACTTGACAAATAATTTTACAGTAGTATCATTTCAAACAAATTAAAAAGGAGTAAATTACATTGTTATTAATCCAGAAGTAGGCAAACAATACCTAGTGGATTGTTATGAATGGATGTTTCTCCAATGTACGAATACGGGTTGTGTACAGTGGAGCTCATGATAGTTTATTTTTTTTTCCTAGTCTGCATGTTGTTATTAAAAATGACTTCAACTCTTATGGGAGCAGGAAGAGACAGTTTCTATGGTCAAATGGTGAATGCTCACGGAAACAAATATGAGCCTTATCCTCCAGCAACATTTTCAAATATGTAAATCTGTGAATCAGATTTTTTTTTAAGTGTAACTATTATTTGCTATTTTTAAGTGTTCTTGCATGGCAAGACCACTTACTGTTATCTCACATATATATTCTTATTATTATAGCCAAATTTACCACCCTAACTCCTCCCACAGTTTTTACACTACATAGTAATATACCGAAACGTGCGGATTGTTCCCGATTGGTGTGCTATTACTTTGTGGAACGTTTCGCCGAATGGTTCACGAAATATCGCCGTTTTTGTGGTGAAATTGGTCCCATAGGAATGAATGGCGGAATGTTCAAAACTAGAGTGGGAGCTGACAAAAGCTAGAGTGTGAGCTGAAAAATCAGGACATGATTTCTAAACTGCCGTCACTCCCTCATTTTCAAGCCCACCTACACAAATCTTATATTAAAACGTTCAGCTGTCCCTGCTGCCACTAAAAATGTGCACAGCTAAGCCATAATCCTGATAGTTTTCACAATATGACCATTTGTTTGCAACTCACGCCGCCCATTGACATTCATTGAAACTCCACTCTAGCCACCTCAAATTTGAAGGGCAATTTTTAAACTTTGACTGTGCCTTCATTTTTAATATTTTGGAGACATTCTATGCATCACAATGTAGGTCTGGGTCTTGTGATTCTCACAATATAAAGCGCTTCAGTGTAGGATTTATACTTTTTAAACTACAACCGTTTGAAGATGCCAACCGCCAGTGAAGTGAGCAAGTTGGAGCAGTTTGTTTTTAACCGCTCTTCTCTGCCCTTCCTGTAGAGTGAGTTGCCATAGGAACCCAGCTGTGTGAGCAGGCAGTAGAGTGACAAAAGCTAGAGTGTGAGTTGTAGACTACTGCTGGAGGCAAGAGCACTTCACACAATTTCCCCAGAAATTGTAGCTTTTCTAGTTTATTATTACTTTGCTACTTCAAAGACGGTCATTTGTTAACAGGCATTAAATGCCAGCATCTGCTTCTCAATGGTTTTTATTGTGCTGATAGTCATTTTTCCTCTACTCTTTTATAAATCTATATAAATTTGTGTTTAATTTATGATGCTATAATTATATTTACTTCAAAACTAAAACATCTTTAGGTTAAAAAGGTATATGTTAAAAGATTATTTCAATATATTTTACCTGCCTGGAAACTGTGTTGCATATTCCGTTTTATTACTTGGCACTGGGGATTTTTCTTTAGCCTATAATGTATATCTGTACACCATCTGTTCTAGTTAACTACCTCGAGTGACATTTCTATTGTGTTTCACTTACAGGAGATTCAGAGCCTGCTGACGAATTGGAAAGGGCCAGACTTGACAAGTTATGGGGAGTTAGTCTTGGAGGGAACATTTCGCTTTCAACGAGCCAAGAACGAGCGTACTTTGTTTCTGTTTGACAGACTTCTCCTCATCACAAAGAAGAGAGACGACGACACTTATACATACAAAGCTCATATCCTTGTAAGTCACAGCTTCGGAGCGCTGGCTGTACTCTTTCATTCATTAGAACAAGGTCTCCTTTGTGGCTGCTTCACATTTTGTCTCTCAGACTTCTAGTGATTCAGTAGTCACATGAAGTCTCTAGTGTCACACTTAAAAAAGATTGCTTATAAAGAGGGTATGACTGGAGCATGTGTAAGAGAACAACTCAAACTAAACAGCATGGAAGAATGACAGATTTGTTAAAATCTATGGACCCCTCTTTTATTTTATGGTACATAATATATTTGGCTCTCTAGACCAGTGGTCTCCAAACTGTGGCCCGGGGGCCAGATGCATCCCTTTGCTTATTTTTACCCAGCCCTTGGGGCACGATTTCATTCACTGATACCAACAATGGGGCATAATTCCCCCTACTGACACCAATGAAAAGACACAATTCCTCCAAATTACACCAAAAATGGGGCACAATTTCTCCCAATGACACCAACAATGAAGCCCAATGACACCAATGATGGGGCACAATTCCTCTCACTGACACCAACTATGGGACACAGTTCCACCCACTGGTGCCAACGATGGAAAACAATTCATCCCACTGACACCAATATTGGGGCATTGTTTTCTCCCCACTGACGTTGGGACCTTTTCTACTCCCAATGGCCACAGTATGGCCCTCCCAAAGTCTGAAGGACAGTAAACTGGCCCTTTGTTTAGATCGTTTGGAAATGCTTGCTCTAGACCAACTGTAGGTCATTTTACCAAAGTCAAAGTAGGTTACTGTGCACCTTTAGTGTGAGCTTGTCAATATGGAATGCTAAGAGCCTTCTTTGATACTGGTGTGTACTTTAAGGCATTAATATTTATCCTCGCTTTACTACTTAGTGATATCCAAGAAGAAAAGTTTGGGAGGTGCTGGAATTCTTATGTTTAGTCAATTAATCAAATGTAGGAAATTTTCAAATACGTTTACTGGCTTGATGAGGCAGCTCACAATGCAAACAGTCCCCTTCAGTGGGTATTAGAGATTGAATATGAATGTAAATGTACACAAATGGGTGTTGGACCATAGGGTGTACAAGTCCAAAAAGTTTTTATTAGTTCAAAATTTGAGCATAAAAAACATTGCATTTCCGGGGCGAAAAAAACTACCCCTACATAGGAACAGAGGAAGAAAGATTTGAAAATTACTCAAATATCAAATTAAAGTAACTTATTTTAAAATAAAATTAATAATTTTTCTAAAATAACAAACGTCATACTTACCTGTTCTGTGTAATGGTTTTGCACAGAGTACCCCAATCCTTCTCTTTTCAGGTCCTCTGTTGACACTCCTGGCTCCTCCTTCCTGCTGAGTGCCCCCATATCAAGTTGCATGCTGTGAGGGCACTCGTGCGGGCTTGCTCCCGAGCCAACTCTGTGTGTCCATTGACACACAGAGCATGGTTTGGCCCTACCCCCTACCCCCTCCTCACTAGCTCTGATTGACAACACACCTGAAGCCAATGGCTCCCACTGCTGTCCCTGAGCCTATGAGGAGCAAGAGAGCCGCTGCTCTTGTGCACATCATTGGTCCAAGATTGGGCTCAAGTAGATGTAAAGGGAAGCTGGGGGTGAAGCTGCATGCAGAAGAAGAAAAAAAAAACCTTCTGCCTTTTTATAACCACAAGAACCAGAGCAAATCTGTGAAAACTCTGATGCTTCTTTAAAAACTCCAGACCTACACTTTGGTCAGTGGCAGTCATTACTATCTACAACTGACTAGAATGTATAAATAAGCTAGCATACCAAAGTAGCATAAATTGATTTAAGTTAGCAAAAGTTCACAAGGTATATTTCAAAGATATATAGTAAAACATCACAGATCTGTGTGATCAGGTTAACGATCACTAGGAATATATCTCTATTCTCTACATAATGCAGCTACTGGCAATCACAGTCATGTACTTCACAGTGGCTAAATGGTTAGCACTTCCACCTGGCAGTACTAGGGTCGTTGGTTCGAATCCCAACCACGGCACCACCTGCCTGGAGTTTGCATGTTCTCCCTGTGCCTGCGTGGGTTTCCTCTGGGTATTCCGGTTTCCTCCCACACTCCAAAGACATGCATGTAGGTGAATTGGCTCCTGTCTAAATTGGCCCTAGTATGTGTATGTATGAATGTAAGTTAGGGACCTTAGATTGTACGCCCCTTGAGGGTTAGGGACTGATGTGAATGTAAAATATATAGGTAAAGCGCTGCGTAAATTGACAGCACTATAAAAGTACCTGAAATAAATAAATAAATAAATGTACTGTAATGCAATCACTGGGATGTTAGATGGTCATAGCCAACAACATGGCAACAGATACTACTGTAAGTACAATCGCACAGTAAGGAAACCTGGTGTAGTCTGAGATGAAGGATGACAACATAAGAAAGGGCTGGTCCCTTTCTCAAGTCCTGGTTCATGGTTAATCTGGTCACACATACTGTATCTGTGATATTCCACTATTTATCTTATGAAAATTTGCTAATATAAATTTATGTATGCTACCTTTGGTGTGCTGGCTAATGTAATGAGTGGACTTCTGTATAAACCTTACTATTTGATTCCTTTTTCCAATAACTTTGTTTTAACTGTCCACAAAAGAGATTGCGCAAACCCGAGACAGACTGTGTTAATCAACAAAAGGCAAGATTTATCTATAAATGGGCAGCACAGTGGCTCAGTGGTTGGCACTTTCGCCTTGGCAGTACTAGGGTCGTTGGTTTGATTCCCAGCCATGGCACCTCCTGCCTGGAGTTTGCATGTTCTCCCTGTGCCTGCGTGGGTTTCCTCTGGGTACTCCGGTTTCCTCCCACACTCCAAAGACATGCTGGTAGGTTAATTGGATCTTATCTAAATTGGTCCTTGTATATGAATGTGAGTTAGGGACCTTAGATTGTACGCCCCTTGAGGGTTAGGGACTGATGTGAATGTACAATATATATGTAAAGCGCTGCGTAAATTGACAGGGCTATATAAGTACCTGAAATAAATAAATAATAAAAGATGACTGTACCTTTCCCACTGTCCATGCCACCAAATGCCCCTACATACCTGAAATATCTTTATTTAAAGTCTGTAACATTTTAGGGACTGTCGATCTCATTGGTCCCCTATGGCTCTCATTGGTTCCTCCTGCAGACCTTCATGTCCGTATTGCCTCATGTGTGCTATGAGGTCGGTAGAAAGAATCAGTGCGAGCTGTTGGGACCAAGGAGGTTGACCATTTCCCAGTGGACTTCAGAGGACAATTTCTACATAAATCTTGCCTTAGTAACTGTAATGACAGGGTCATTTTAAGTAGAGTATAAATGTATGCAGTATAAATGCAAGGCAAACAGATTTTTCCAGGATTGATTTTACAAGATCTTCATTCAACAGTATAATGTAAATAGTGGTGAATGATGCTTTAGAAAGCAGCTTGGCATGGCTAAGTAAATGGAAGTTGCATAAGCGTGAGTATTGCTAATTCAGGCAGAATTCCACCCTCTGAACAATGTAAATAACAGCAGGATGACAGCTGCGCAAAGCATGGACCCCAACACAATAATATAAGGAGTTCTTCTATTGATTTGGTGGCTGGGGGATTGGTCAAAACTTCTTAAATAGATGCTAAAATAGTGTCTGGAAGGAATTGTCAAGTCTGAAAGATATACAGTAGATAACTACATACAATAGTAAGTAAAAATATACAGTTATGGCTCCAGAAAGATAAAACATAGGCTTGTTTTCCTGTTGTAGGCCCAATGCACATGGGCAGAAAAGCGCTACTCTTATGCCCCGTACACACTATAAGAAAATCGGACAAACGATCGTACGGTTATCATCAATTGTACGCTGCTAGTTGAAAGCGATGTGCTTTTATGCATGAGAATATTGTACGATATAAAGGCATTGCGTACGAATGTCCTAGCGTAGCTTTGGAAATGATGTAATGTACGTGTGACCCTGTAGCCACGCCTTTCGGTGCCATATTTGTTTTCCCTCAGCGACTGATCTTTCGTGACAAATTTTCGGAATAGTCATGGATACCATATCCGAATGTTCTGAAGATACTGCAATTGCCATTATGGGTTTTGGAAATCTGGCCATACAGAGGAAAAAGACAAAAAGGAGGCTGTGGTGCAAGAAATGGCTACTGAGGCGTGGCCAGTATTCCCACGTCTCTGTTGAGAGAATTGCATGAGAACAATCCAGATGATTTTTAGAAATGATTTGCGAATGAATGACGACTGCTTTAAACCAAATACTACACAACAAACACTTTACTCCTGCGCTAGGAAAGGACTCAGTAGACCCAATAGGAATGTTCTGGAATTTTCTGGAATATGCACTGCTTGCTGCCCTCAACGGACCGGGGTGGTCCGAATACACTGGATACAAATGGAGAAACAGAAAAAGAGCGCACCGACCTAGTGCATTATTGTTTAAAATAATTTATTAAAGAAACAAAAATGGGTATCATACTCACAATGGACATAATAACACAGGCATGTCAAACTGAACAAGATGTATGATCCAAACAATATCTGAGTCCATACGATGGAACCCTGGATGACCAACTGGCTAACGCATTTTCGAGGACACAACCTCTTCCTCAGAGCCAACCTTTAATCAAATCCTGACTGCAGTAAAGCCACACATTGCAAAGATGAATACCATTCTCAGAGAAGCAATCAGTGCGGAGCAACGTTTGATTGCCACACTACAGTATCTTGCCACATGGGCGAAGCCTGCAAGATTTGAAATTCACCACTGCCTTTTCACCACAAGCCCTTGGAGTAATCATAAAGTTATTGTTTAAAACATAATTTTTATTTGTGATTTTATTTTTACAAC